AAGTGTGGCATTGATTATATGGATTATGTATTGATGTTAGCATTGAAGGAAATGGATTCAGATTTATACTGCCTTGAAATTGTCTTTCCTTCTGCTTCTCCGCAAATTTGTTCTCCGAAACCAGTACATCAAAACGTGTACTAGTGTGTATATACTAATGTTATCGGGCAAATTGAATTTGTGTTCTTGTCTGTCACATTTTGTTGTTATCTTGTTGTGTAAATCACTGCTATTTTCAGCATGTATTAGGGAAAATCTGTGGACAGATAAGGTGTGTTCAGTGTCGCATATTCGAGTAAAACTTTCAATATCTGCAACTTTAACAATATAGCTACAGTGTTAACCAAAAGATAAAAAATACATCCATTATGGTATATACGGGGGAGAGTCAGTAAATAGGCCATAAAGGGATATAAAACGTAAAACGTGATATTCGAACCTACGAAAAAACAAGTATTTCTCGACACATCCTCCATTAACATCGATACACTTATCCCATCGCTTTAGCAGCGCGTCGAAAACCGCAGCGTAGAAGTTTTTGAATGTTATCAGGTCCGCTTCAACCTATTCGTCATCAACGAAATATTTGCCACGTTTCTCGACCTAGCTGTAAACAGCTTTTCGAGACAAACACGTCCCACCTTAAATAGGAAATATTTCTTTACGAATATTCTTTCCATTGAGTCCTTTTGCTCACAAAACGCACAACATAACGCTGCATTTCTGTAGTATAATCCTCAAGCACGGTAGCCATTTTGACTGATAAAACCAGCCTCTGAACATGCGCATGCGCGTCTGTTACCTAGATTATCATGAACCTTGAACTGAATCTCTGTCGTAATACGGTATGCATAGTATATATAACTGATGTATTCAGTCGGTTTACATGGAAAAATTGGATAGCGCAGTCGGTATAGCAACTGGCTACGGGATGGACGGCCGAGGGGCCGGAGTTCGAGTCCCGGTAGGAATAAGAATTATCTCTTCTCCACGTAGTCCAGACACGTTTTCTGGGTCACGCCCAGCTTCATATCTAGTGGGTACCGGGAGGTCTTTCCTCGGAAGTAATGTAGTCGGAGCGTGAAACTGATCACTCACTAACTAGGGCCGAAGTCAAGAATACATGGCTCTACTTGTATACACCCATTCCACAATACGCCTTCATGGCTCACTGCTTAATTATTTAAGCACAGGAAATATACTTTTTCTACATGATAGAATAATTGCACCTAAAATCGGAGATGAAGATGACACACGCGTAGACACGTGTCGTCCTAGACAGCAAACTCCACCTGCTGGAAATAGTGATAATAAATAGTGCCAGGTGTTAGAGAGTGACCCTCGGAGGGGTTTTGGATTGAATATTGGATTTATTGACAACTTTACCATACGACTCGGAATTATAAGTAATTACAGCGCCATCGCTAATTTCTACACTTTACAAATCGCTAGAGCACACATTAAGTATTTTCCAGCCTGATGTGTTTTCACCAGTGGATCCCTAGTAACGGCTTCTAACAGTGGAGATTGTTCAGCTTCGGTGTTTTAAAATCTCAACTTGCTCGTTTGCCCCAATTGTCCCCCATTTTACACCTCGGCACACCCCGCGTAGAAAACGCCGTTCATTATCGTACTCCAACCGTTTCAGCGGGAACACATCTGCCCCCGAAGGAGTCACAAAACGACGGCTGCGTATACCCGATTATTAAGAGTCTGCTACCCAGCAACTGGGATTGTTTCGCGGCCGTTATCCAACAACGGGTCTACACGTTTCAATATTATCTGCTATGTTCCTGCTAGTCGAACATATCTGCTACTTTATACGCCACCGCAACTGAATTTTATCGGTTTCCCCGAACATAGCTTATGATGCACAAAAAAAAAGGCATATGAAGCAGAACAGATATGTTGACTATCTATAACTTTCATTTGAGCTATTTTTCAATGCGACGAATTTTTAACTAATCTATATAAATAAAAATGTAAATGTGCGTTTGTCCGTGTTCTTAAATCTCCGAAAGTGCTTCACCGATTGCTTTGAAATTTTGACACAACCTTGTTACAAATAAAAATCTTTTTTGACCGAGGAGAATATTCGAAACTGAGACGTACAAGATAGCAAGACGACGGAACAAATTACACGAGGCGCTCCATAACTTGTATTATTCACTATATATTACTAAGCTAATAAAACAGAAGGTGACAGAAACACACTACATAAGCTGAATAGGAAGCATGAACAATTCTTGAAGAAAGCAGTCTTCTGGGATTTGGTACCGTGTATATGTGGTGTTAACCGACGTTTCGGAGGAACGTATCGCCTCCATCTTCAGGGTAGAAGAAAAAATATAAGAAATCTGCAAGCGAAGAGACCGTGAGAACCGGTAAAAGCAGAAAAGCAGACAGTCTGCTTTTACCGGTTCTTACGGTCTCTTCGCTTGCAGATTTCTTATATTTTTTCTTCTACCCTGAAGATGGAGGCGATACGTTCCTCCGAAACGTCGGTTAACACCACATATACACGGTACCAAATCCCAGAAGACTGCTTTCTTCAAGAATTGTTCATGCTTCCTATTCAGCTTATGAAGTGTGTTTCTGTCACCTTCTGTTTTATTAGCTTAGTAATATATAGTGAATAATACAAGNACCCAATGCTAAAGCGGCAAAATCGGGTCCACACCCTTAAGACGGGTTTCTGTAGGATCCGTTTCAATACCGTGCATTAAGTCTTCGAAACTGAATCTCCGATATTTTGTTAGATACTAAACGAAACCATTTGGTTAAACCAACATTTATTTTGCGAAAACAACTGAAGTTGTTTAAAGCAATATTATTGTAAGGTAGGTAGGATATTTATAATATTTCCTAAGATAGGATTTTTTCTTATCGATTTACCACATAATCTGTTTCAATGTAAAGATATAATTTCATATTATTTCACACAAAAGCTAAAAGCTATCCCTGTAACAGGCCGGAAGGCCCATAGGGTTGTGAGACGACGAGGCTCCCACATTTTCTCTAGATAATCGGCTCACAGATGGCGGTGAGGTTGTGAGCCTTACGCTCCGGCCGCCCTTTCCCCCCAGGAAGATTCCTGGTACTCATTTCTGTTAGTTGCTGAGTCGACCCCAGGGCCATAGTGGGACTGGAAGAATTAAGTAAATTGAAAAAATTCCACCTCATCTGGACTCGAACCCGCGACCTTCCGGCTTGTAGCATAGTGCCTCAACCAATTACGCTACCAAGTGCCACCGTCATTTCAAACAAGATTCGAAAATTAGTTTCAGGATACACATAATCACAGATAAGCAAAAATGAATTAAATATCATAAAAGATAAAAAAAATTGCAGCATCATGAAAAATACGTTTTATTAAATTATAAAACTTGTTGTTATGCCGCAAATTTCGAAAAGGGAAATTTGAGACATTGCCTCAAATGTTGTGACCGTTGCAAAAGAGCTTTACTCAGTTAGGGCAAAGATGGCAACACACAGACTGTGGAACTCGGTCAAGAATGTCTTAGTCAGCAGAGGTGCGTAATCGCACATGCAGGAAGCTCGCTTCAATAGGCCATTGGGGAGAACGAAATTATCAAATACACAGGAATGAGACACAGCGGATTCGTCCGTGACAAAAGAGGTTAGCCAATGGAAGACCACCACCCTTAATGAGGGCAAAAGGAGGAGGTAGCTTTACTTTTAGGAAGCTGCTGCGTCAGCTGTCTTGGTGTATAAAGGTGGGCAAAGAAAGGCTCCGGGACTCTTTCGACACCCCTTTTTGCGACCAAATGTAATATTTAGAAAAGTGCCGAAGGCCCTTTTCGGCATGGGTGCAACAAGATTGTGGTTGGTGGTAGTCGCCTGCGTCTCTACCTCAAGTAAGTCAATTTGCTCATACTAGCCATGTTACTTAAACTTTATTGTTGTTTGTTAAATTGTTGAAGTGCAATCTCCAGTGTGCCCTGCGAGCATTATGATAGGATAGGGTCGCAACTACGCAAAGAGGGTAGGAATGAAGGAAAATGACAGTCCCAAGCCAGACTCCCTAGGTGGGAGATCAGAATGAAAGTGGGAACTAGTTAAAGGACCGATACTATGTAGACCCGGCAGAACGTCGGCATTCTTATACTGTATCTGTACATATATGTGTAAATAGACCAGTGTTATTAGGGTAGGATGTAACTCAGAGCTGTGATTTACTTCCGTCGTGGAGGTAAATCACAACTCAGAGTTGTGATTTACCTCCACGACGGAACCCTTCCCCGACCGATCCGGAGCTATCCTAGTCCAGACGAAGGCAGATCTGATCCCCCCAGGCAGTTAAGGGTGAGGAGAATCCCAGTTTCGGGAAATTAAATAACACCCCAGTCCTTGGAGGCGTGACAGTTAATGGGTAGAGACGGGGTAGAACCTACACGCCTTCTGTATCCATTACGAAGTGGTGCCAGTGGTGGGAGTAGCCAACGAAGGGACGGTTGGCGAGAGAAGTAGAATTTTCTTTAACCCCCCCCCACCCCTCATCAGGCAGTACACTTGTTGATGTTAATGCATTGTTATTTTCCTCTGGCATATTTATGCTATTTGGGCTTTCTCCTCGCCGGATGAAGAGTTGTTCTGACGGAGTGTCTGGCTTCTACCGTTCTACCACGGGGGTGCAAGGATCCAGTGCACGGATGTCTGCGTTTCTTCTGTTCTTTCCTTGTCCTGTCTAGATAGAGACCTTGTGACAGAAGTGATCACACGCCCAAGGAATTCTACTAAACAAGATTCCGAAACGCGAAAAAACGAGAGGCCTTGGACCCATTTGTCTTTCGATAGCTGCCCGAAAATAAAACAACAAACCTATTCACGGCAGTTAATTGATAAGAATTCTATCAGCTGAATCATCACAGATAATTTTATTACGATACTTATCACAAAATTCATCAAATAAGAGACAGCATCAAACTCGGTTATAGAAACAGTCAACTTCACCAATATTTCTAAATTGTGTTTTTCAGAACTACAAGAAGGAGGAGGCCGGCAAAGTAGTTGTCTACACTACCACAATGGGAGTTGTGCGCGAAACTTACCAGGACTGCGTGCTCGTGAAGAAGATTCTGCGCAACTTGATGGTGAAATATGAAGAACGTGACGTCTTCATGAGCAGAGAGACACAGACAGAGATCCGTGAACGCATGGGCTCTGACGTCATCATTGTGCCCCAGGTCTTCGTTGAAGGCCAACACATTGGGGTGAGTATCTGCAATGTATAACGTGTTTCAGGATCCTATGAGCTTTCGTCATTAAGACTGAACAGACTCAAAGAGAAATGAAGACAAAACATCAACGGAACATACAAATTGGAAGATATTATATTATATTAAAATGCATTTCAGAGAAGCAGAAAATCAGGGTGAGGTTAGATTCATGTGGCGAGCAATATTAACCAGTGGCATGCTGCCGTGAACACGAAAGAAACCTTCTGTTTCTAGAAAATGTGCGGAGGTTCTTGATTAGATAAGCAACGTAAACTTCCGAAGAAATGTCTATGTATAACACAGTCCGTTAATAATGCAACAAATTGTTCCTCTTTCTTCCGCTTACACTTTTAACGCAATATGTTTCGACCCTAGATGGCCTTCTTTAGGTGTCTTAATATATTAAAACTGTTACACTGCATTAATATCTGCTACAGCCTGTGATTTAACGCATATTATTGTAGTGTAGCAGTTTTAATATATTAAGACACCTGAAGATGGCCATCTAGGGCCGAAACATGTGTTAAAATTGTAAGTGTAAGAAAAAGGAACAATTTGTTACATTATTGACGGACTGTATTATACGTAGACATTTTAATATGACTGGCAAGAGGATGCTTAAATACAGAATTCCCAAGAAATATTGCTCAACTGAGTTATTTATCACCAATTTCTCTTAAATATTGAGTTGATAATTTTATCTCATACCACACTCAGTTACGGCGAAAATAATTCTATACCTATTATTTTATTTTTATGATAAATTTGAAAGTTATCATCTGAAAACCGAAAATCGCGAAAATACACGTAATATATGGGGATAGAAAACAACTTGAAAACTGGGAAGTAATTTCAAATACACGAAGAAGTGAAACATGTAATCACTAAGGCGTTACTACTTTCCTTTGATCCTCTGTACGGTCCCTTTCACTCTTTGCAAAAGCAACGAGAATTCGCAGCGTGAGAAACTGTCAATTTCGAGGTGTGAGAATCTGGGAAAAATCTACACAACCGTACGATGAAACGTGACGTCATAATCATTACAATGTACACATTACTAACACTAATTACTATGTTGGGTAACAGTACGTGTCATTCTCTCTTTTTCTTCATGTCTATACCATATAGAAAATTACGTATATATAGAATTTGTGTGTATAGTTGCCACCTCGCAAATTCTCACTCATATTTCTAATGAGATAATTGCAATGGTTTCGGTGCTATTGTAGTATTTTAGAACTAGTTAAAATACTGATTCCTTGCGCGAATTTTTCGCCAAAAAGACTTTACCGAAACAAAGATATTTCTTACTTATTATATCACACCTCTTAAAAAAACTCTCATTTAATTTTTGTATCTACGTGTTCAGTAGATCGAACCTCTACATCCATCTTTAATAAACGGCACAAGATATGTAATGAAGAGCAGAGTTACTCGCTTAATAGACATATGAAACTTACTGTTCTGCAAAGTAACGCATCAAATTGTTCTTACCTTCGTTAGACAGCAAAAAGGATGCAAACCGTATGTTTTTCTGTAATTTGTCACCGTAGCGCCCCACGATGACAAGAAAGTGCAAATATCAAACAGATCTCTCTGTGTATTAATCCTTAGAATTACTCCGTGATTTTAGTCCGCAAGCGAACTACACCGACCGAGCGATCGCCGCTTGTCGGCGAAGTTCAGTGCCAACTTTTTCGGATAGAGGGTGTCGTCTGGTCAGCGCAACGAATCCCCACCGCCGTTAATTTCAGTTATCTAGACCCTTAGAATTAAATAAATTAATGAAAACTGGAAAAACTGGTGAAAGAAAAGTGACTATTGATGAAAATGACAGACCGTTTTAACTGTCTTAAACTTAAAAGGTAAAAAGTAAATTTATCCCAGAGATTAATGAATTAAGCACCACGTAATGAGGGCATATGAACGAGTAGAGGTATTGTTCCACCATTCTTGACCTCGATGCTAGTTGGAGGCGAGTAGTCAGCTTCACCTTACGTCCGCTTTACCCCCCTGGAAATAGCCCGAGGTATCCATTGCATAGGATTCTGGGCGAGCCCCAGGGCCGGTCTGGACACTGTGGAGAAGAGAAAAATCTTGCTGCTGCCGTGAATCCATCCAGTCTTCCAACCCGTAGCCTGTCGCTGCACACTGAGTTATCCCGACTCCAACTATATTATTTAAAATGTAATAAAATATTATGACTGTACCTGGAGCTGAAACAGTGAGAGTAGTATAAACCGTTTAGAAAATGTGGTGATGATAATTTTGTTATTAACCACATCTCTTTATATATTGTAACGTGTATCCGTTGCTAGGCAACGTGTCGCTAAACATATTCCCTAGAAAATGAATACGCAGGCAACAATAAAAGAATTGCCATTTCCAGAATACGCTTGTCTTGGCTCATCTTGGTCCGTCATGCTAACAATAGCATAAAATGATTCACAGCACCGTCCATGTGACTGATTAATAAAACTAGGATGATATATTTATTAATTGGTCACACTGGACGGTGCTGTGAATAATTTTATGCTAGGACACGGATTTCTCAATGTGTTTTCTGTGCGTGGTCCGTGCAGAAGATTTATAGAGGGGACAACGAAAATTGTTTGCAGGCAGTCGTAGAACTAGAAGCAGAATGAAGAGGGGCCTCGTCGGTCAAGATTGACTTGAGCTGTAATAACTGATTGTAATTGTATAGAAGAGCCAATAAATCCAATCATCCAACCCAGAACCCACAGTCACGCCTACCCCTTACATGTGAGAATATATTTGCACAGTATTTAAACGTTTCTATTCAAAATTTAATATTCTATCTGAAACTTAGATATTATTGGAGTGTCAAGGAAATACATGGGGACATATTAAAGTGGACTGCAGGCAATATTTTTTGAATGTACGAATAAGAGAGGACTGTTTGAGAATAGCGGATGGTAGTAACCTTCTATCGTTTGCAATTGCAAACAACGATTTTCAATCATCTGAATAATTAACCACAGAAAGAGTCCTCTACTCCATTGCATTACAGCTATGTACTTATTTAATTATGTAGTTAACTGCTTAGTTACTTAGCTATCATTTACTTTGTCGTTAGTTCGGTATAAGGAAATAAATGTACGCGGAAAATGACTGGGGTATAACATAAATATTACTTCATCCTATTACGTGACATTGTGTGATATAATTTTTCCAGCGTCGTTGAGGGACCTGTTGGCTCTGCCACTTTTATGCCCTGACTGCGGCGTTAGGAGTTTATTCCGAAACCTAGCATTATGTAGAGCACTTCACTCTAGAAGAGAGTCATCTTCATTTTCACTGCTGTGATAACATAAATCCTCACGGGTTACAAATTTGACCCCATATGGCCCTAATGATACTGAATTATTTTTAGGGGAGTTTATTGAACGCGTGTTGATTACAGTGGCCTCATGGTCTGAGGAATGACCCGTCTTCGGTCGCTTGAACGCTGGTATCATGGGTTCGAATCCCACTCAAGGGATTGATCATGGATGCCTGTGTGCGTTTATTCTGTGTTTTGTGTTGGTCTGTATGTAGGTGGTGGCCTTGCGACGTGCTGATCCCCGTCAAGGGAACCCTACCGACTATGTAAAAGAGCAAGAAACTGAGAAAGCGGCCAAGGTCGAACAAAGGACTGTAGAGCCATAGACAAATACATTGTGAACGTACTTGTCACTGATGATGAACGAATCACCATGCGCCTTTAACTCTTTGGGAACGTTTCAATACCGAAGTCAGATTGTCGATAATAGAACCTTTCAAAGTGTTTCCCCAGCAACGTGTTTACACAACTGAACACACTTGCCCAGCACGGTATGAAAGGTAAACATATATTTCACTAAATAAACAAGTTCGTCAGTGTGAACCTTACAGGATAAATTCAGTTCGGTATTTATCATGAGTTCTGATGTTCGTTGCCCTTATGAAAGATCAAATAAAGTATATGTTCACTTTGAAAAACCGTGATGAATTTGAGGCTAGATTATAAAGATAACACTAATCTGAAAGTATACGGTGTCATATCCCTTAAGCCCTAACATTGACAGTCTCCAGGGTGAGAACCTGAGATCTCGCAAGAACAGAACAGGCTCCCGAGTGGCTTGCTGCCATAATACTCTTCAGGATATTTCATTTGTCTGGTCGTATCTATAAACAAACAGGGAGTTCTGGGAAGAACTAAGCGCCTACTTTCCTTTCATACGACACGGATTGAACATAAAAGGACATGTAAAAAATTTGTATATTTCTGCGTGTGTATTCGTTGCAGCGGTAACGTTCGTGACAAGCCGTTTACGATAGTAAAAAGAAAAAGTAAAGCTATCCCTGTAACAGGCCGTGAAGGCCCATAGGGTTGTGAGACGTTGAGGGTCCCACATTATCTAGACAATCGGCTCACAGATGGCGGTAAAGTTGTCAGCCTTACGCGCCAGCCGCGCTTTACTCCCCAGGAAATTTTCTGGTACTCATTTCTGTTAGAGGCTGATTCGACCCCAGGCTCGTAGTGCGGCTGGAAGGACTAGATCAATTGAAAAAGATCCAAGGACCTCATCGGGACTTGAACCCGCGACCTTCTGGCTTGTAGCATAGCCCCTCAACCAACTACGCTACCGCGTGCCTCAGTTAAGCAAAGATAGTGGGATACAAATACATACAAATTGATTTTTTCGCACATTTCTTATACATAATCTGCAGAATCTGCAATAAATAATATGTTCAATAAGTACTAGCTCGTGAATGAGTTATGGCCAGTGGCGTAACACATATATTTTTGTTCACTTAGGTATAAATTTATTATCGTACTGGGGTTTTACTCAGGCCTGTCTCGTAGAGCCAGGACGGTGTTCTGTTTCAGTCTATGTGTAGTTTCGCTGTTGTCTAGTAGGTTCACTGCTAGTGCATTAGTGTGGATTTCCAATTTTCTTAAGTATTTGGTATATGGGAGGATTTTATGAAGTACGCCGTTGAGATGGGCTCAGGTGCCATGATAT